AACTCAAATTTAAAACATTCATAACACATATCTACTTTATAACACAGCAACTTCTTTAGATTTTCAAATTATAAAACTTCTTTCATTTCAATAATATACAAATTATTCTAATCCAATCTATCAACGTAGGTAAATATTATCTTAATTCGTTTACGTCTTTCAAACACTAAAGACTTGACTGTTTAACTTGTAAAAATATTTTCAAATAAGCTTTTTCTAAACTTTTCCTTAACGATTTCAATTAATATTTAATGATAGATAACATTATTAAAATACAAAGGTGACTTTAATAATGTTATCTATCATTAAATATTAATAAAATGACCTTATAATAACCTTTCACTCCTTCTCTCTGTATCTATGCCATCTGTTGGTTGTTGACATCGGAATCAGTATTTGATTCCAGCGTAATCCAACTTTGCCCTAATCATACTTGCCCTCATTCAATCCAGGATACTCGAGGGTGAACGCTGATCAGTAATAAGCCCCCTGGTATCACGAAGAGATCATGCTGAGTGAATTTYCTCAYRTTACACTTCAAACTCCTAAGCCAATACCGAGGAAAATATCATACGATTAATAATGCATATATGCAATGRAATGTATGGTATTGATCCAACTTAAAAAACTATAATTATAAAACCATTGTTCACAAAAAAATATTTAATTAAAGCAGTGATAACAATCAATTAATAGTTGTCTATAAACTAAAATACCATTTATAACCATAATATTAGTAGGTATAAATGTTTCATATTATTATTTAAATTCAATATTCAGATGAGTATTAAAAATTTAATTAAATATTTAACGAGTACTTACTAATAAATTAGTAAAATTAGTAAGGATTATGTACCTGTGTCCAAATCTCTAATTCGGTCACACACCATAACATATGTGAATTCATAATCCTTGCATGTTCCAAATCAGAAAAGCCACAACACATGTAATTAATTTAAAACCAAAATTAACATATAAAACACACTCTAAAAAGTAAACAACATTACATTTTGATAGAATCATACAGGACGTATAGAAKTAACATTATGATCACCAAAATGTATTTCAAACTATATTAATAACCCTTGAYAATTCTTGACAAACAAATTTGATCCATCATAATACATGACATAAAATWTGACATTTAAACACACATTTCCATTACCTACTCAATTTTTGACTTAATCTTACTTCTAAGTTATCTTAGGACTTCGACTATAAAAATGAATAATCGTTTTTTGTGTCTGAAGTACAGTAGGCTACTACTTTTACGTTAATTAGACAAACATATAAACGAAAAACAATAATGTTTTAAACCTCATATAATTTCATATGTTTTCCTAGAYRTTCCCCTACTTTAATTACACATACCTACCAAGAATAATTTTATTGTAATATTGTAAAATGTATTGTAAATTGTACCTGTATATATAAGTAATATTTTAAAATATGTAAGCTAATAACCTTAGTTGTTGAGGCTTTAAAGTAATAATAAAAAAAAAAAAAATAATAATGTTTTAAATCATATTCGTTTCGAAGTAGGTACCTACTGCTAAAAATTAATATAAAACTTAGTATTACGTAAGTGCATTTTGTTTAGGTAATTAAATTGAATGTGCGAAGAAAATACACGGAATACATTATTATAATTATTTCTGCGGTTGTTAAATTAGGAACGTTTTCTTTACAGACTCAAATCATCGTAATAGGTATATTACAACAATATCAGATTTTATACCGTTTTTCCGTATTTATAATACCACACTTATTAGTCGTCTTCGATTGGTTCAGCTCGAAACTAATAAATTATGCACTTCATATGACCTACGCCGCATTGATAGGAGAATAATATCGTAGTTACTCAATTCTCATTTGTCATTACTCTTTGACAATATTTTTTTTTTCATGTGTGTGGGSCCATTAAAAAAAATGCTCAATAAGCCAAAGATGGCCTATCCACTCATGTATATAGKTGTATGTGTATTAAGTACTCGTGCATTATTGATAACAACGTGTATTTGTATCTTTCCAGTGCCACCGGAYATAATCACAGATGAGTCGAGTCCCGACCTCACGCTGATGGAGGCAGAGAACGCTACCCTGTCGTGTCACGCCACCGGCAACCCCGAGCCGAAAATCACGTGGAGGCGCGAGAACAATCAACCACTGATGCTGCGCACTGGTTCTAGGGACTTGGTCAAGCGTGAGTATTAGATTATTATAGTGTATTGCAAACACGCACACTAATTAAATAATTTCGAAAAATAAATTTTTACACTTACCACACGACGCCATACCACAGATTACTGATATATTATAATAACGTAATATAACGTGAATAACCGGTAAATTAATAGTGTTGGACGAGTAATCGMCTTTGGAAAAATTTTCGAGTCGAGTTCGAGCACTCGACTCGACTTGACTAAATTTTATTGTACTTGTAAAGATGAAGTACTCGTTTAAAAATTATAAAAGTTATAAAAATAAATTGCTGCATGCATGAAGGAAAATTTAAAATTTTTGGAAAATCTATTTTTAGTACAATTTAAAATACAGAGTATTAGACCAATTCCCGGTACTCCATATGCTTGTGCCAATACTTGACTATTTTTAATTTTCAGAAATTGTGAAGTACTCGACTTTTTTTCATACTCGGCTTTTGTCGAGTATTCGACTTTTTTCTTATTTCATACTCGGCATTTGTGGAGTACTCRAAATTTATCGAGTACTCGAATCTTGAACTCGACTCGACTCGAAATAATTGAAACTCAACTCGACTCGACTCGAAATTAAAAAAACAATACCCATCCAACACTATAAATTAATAACGTAATAGTAATAAGATAGTAATATATACTGCGAAGCCGTGCGATACTGAAATATCATTAAAAGCAGTCAGTCATGTATGAGATTATCGAATAGGTCATCTATTCAATAGATAGAACTGTAGAGGTATCTGTCTAAATTTCAGCTCGATCGGATTATTGTAGTAAAAAAAACAATATCAACAAAGACCCACCTGAAAAATAAAACAAAAAGCACATTGAGTTTTGCCCATCAGACAAATTAAATCGTACAAATAGAACCACACATAATACTGCATAGTGCATATTTATTATTATTATAGTGCACGAGTTTTAATACAACCATATAATATATAATATTGACATATTCTGTTGTATCCTGCAGTRCTTATATATAAAATAATATAATATCTATAATCCCACATTATTATGACGTAGTGTGATACCAATCCGCTAAATTGACACGACGCCGAGAAAATAAATATTGTCATCGCACCTATACATATGCCACTACGTATATGAAACTACATAGTATAATATTACGCATCGCGACACTGCGACCATCCATTATTTCATCGCGTTTCTATCGAGTGGCTAACATCCGGTATACATAATTTTTGGAAGGAGTGGGTAATCCGTTATACGATAGCCAGGCCGCCAAGTGTCGAGATTTTAGAGGTTGACGTTAACTGAATATACCACTCTAYGACCCTAAAGTCGCAGCTTACTCGACCCGCGGCACAGAGCCCGACATGTCATCTTCACGACCAAAAATATAATATTGTGTGTATGAAGTACGCGCTGCTGTTGTAGTAGTATGAGTATGTGCTTGAAACGGACTCTCTATAATAATAATATAATTTCGGCCACCAGACGATGAGTCAAAACAACATCCGTCGGTGGTTAGAGGAGGCGATGGTGCTGATGGTTCGCAGGTATTGTCCAGCGTAGTTTCATCACTGTCGGCGTCGGACGCAAACGATTAAAATGCACGACGAGATGGGTAAGCGCCTATCGGGGGACGGATAAAGATAAGAGGAGCGACAACGACGCAGGCAGGGTGGCTAAACCGARCTCGAGCACAACCACCTCACCCAAAAGTTTTTCGGATGGACGATAATACGGTCCGGAATCGCCTGCCGCGACTTAAATCTGTCCAAAATCGTGAAAAATTCTCCGGTGAAAACCTGACGAATATTCTCGATKAGATACATCCAGCTGATATTTCCAATTTTTTTGAAAAATATTAATTTATCATTTGGTTTATGTATCACCCGATGTGCCTTTTTCCACACCGTTGAAACGTGGTCGTGCGATACGGATACGTGTGCGGCGAGGCGTTACGCTAATATTTGTGGTTAGAAAAAAACTATGTCAAGACTTCCAACGATAGTTCTACCTGGATATTACAAGTATTAAACATATTGCATACATACATATATACACACTGCGTTACTAGTTCTATGTTCTTGTGTGGCTAACCTAACCCTTTGGTCATTGATCGATGTGTTTGTATTTCGAAGAAAACGATTTTTGTGTATTATATTTCCCACACAAAATAGAAAACTGGTAAAATGTTGTTGTTAATTCCTTTACGAGGCGCCAATGTAGTAAGTATAGTGTTACAGACTCACATAATTTGGTAGCAACAACGATAGATACATCGACTTTTTATGAACACAAAAAGTCACATTAGAATATATAATATATTATGCTCCTTGGTCAAGGAATTATTGAGAAATAAATTGATCATCTAGACGAGTGAATAATCTTGATTTAGAACTCGTGTCTTATTTAAGTATATTCATTTTCAATGTCTAAACTAGTAGTTTTTATTTTTCCACCATTTCTGGCCAATCGATCGAGCATGCAATAATAGCTAATCTAATACTATGCTACTTTCACGTGATCACTAATATTTAATACACTCGTATTGAACTTTGTAAATGGAAATAAAAATAAATTAATAGAAAATATGTAAGTACTTCAAACGTATATAATGAGCGTATTTACAACATTTCAATATTTCATAACATGTTCACCAAATTTCAACGTTTTATACGAATGACCCAAGAAGGATTATATTTAATTTTTTATGATTGGTCCGTTTATTGTATTTATCTTCTATGTAGGCATGTTGTAAATCGCYCGTAAAAAAAACATCGTATTTGTGCCAAATAAGTATAATTTCTCGTGTATCTTTTTATTCCATACATGTTAAAGCTTTAAATAAACGAATATGAAGAACAATAAAAAAACATCCATTTAGTTTTTAAAATCCTGTTCGTATGCGTACAGTCATAAAACAATATTTTTCAAAGTGCTCTACAGTAGTTTTAATGATATACTTTGTTATACCGATAAAATATGACATAATTTGCAAACAAACTATCCACTATTCTATGCATATTGTAGTTATAAAACGTTGTCGACAAAATGTTTGCAAATAATTATTATTACCACTAATTTTTGTGCTTTCTAACAATTGATTTTATCTATATTGTTACAATTCGAGGGCGGACAACGTTGAATTTACACAATGGAACCCGTACAGTCGTACATGTGAAAAGTAACGCAGATGGTACAATTACTATAATTATATTAAATTATTATATTATTAATTATTAATCAAATAGTAGATGGTGTTTATTAAGGTGTATAAAAAAAAATGTGTGAAGGTTCACGCAGAAATTCGTCGGACCCGTTAATTCATAGAAAATTTAGTACAAATGACATTTTGCACAAAACACAATTATATATATACAAAACAATGATTCGGACAAATAACGGGTTTTAATTAATTCGGTCCAATGCAAATAATAATTACCGTTGACAAAACTATAGAAATTMACATACGCATTTTGAACAGAGTTTTTCAGCTATTAATTTATGTTGACAGAAACTAACACGATATTATATATTAGCCATTAGTGATTAATATTGTATACAAATTCCATATATTGCACATATTTTTAATTTCGCTTTAGTATTGAAAAAAAATAAATAATATTTTTGATATGTCACCATGAAAACCTCATTATACCATGTTAAACACAACAATTCCACTAAATTTTACATAAATATGGTTTGAAAATAATAATTTTAAAATGCAAATTGATTATTATTTATTTATAATAAAGTCTGCATTTTTATAAATATAATACGATTACGGATATTGGAAAAATCATATACAACATGATTCACTGATTATCCGTGTTATGCCTTTGAGGCCTAATTCTAACTACAGCGCTGTTTTATGTAAGAAAAAAGTAGATAACGCAATTATTTACATTTAAATTGTTTGATTGACAATTTTTGAAGTTAACATCATCATTCATTATCACAATAACAAGAAAAATAAAAAATTGTCGTCACGAGTACCAACATTATGATAATACGCTTTGGGCGAAAGTTAGCTAATTATTATCGATTTCAGATGCCAATAATTCAAACAGTCATATCTATCACAAAATAAAATATTTTTAATAAATTTAATTATTTACACAAAATAAATATGGATTACTTATTTACCTACAGTACAACATGGCATATACAGCTTACAAATAAACTTATTTRTTGGTAAGATTATATTATATTATATTATTATAAACGGACAACCAGCCGCTTACAGCCAAAAGGATTTTCCACTACAACGACAATGTTTGCCTTGCTTTAATGTATCCCAACTTCATCACTTGTGTTTACAATTAGTTTTACACACAATGTTATTATTTATTTTTTATTTTGTGTAAATCAATTATATAATATTAAGACTTAATAAAACGCAGTTAGCTAATTTTCGTAGTACAATCCATTTTCGATAAGTATAAAAAAATTGCTCCAAAAGTGCTGTGGTAATCCAAATACAAACACCAGGATAGGAAATCCGTAGGGCTCTCGCTCCTTGGATAATTATGTAAAAACAAAATGATTTGTAGGAGATTTGATCATTTCGACGTACAAAAACCAAAGCCTCAAAGTTGTTTTTGGTACTATATGTAGGGTATTCGAGTGAGTCCATTAAATCCAGAGCATATAAATAACGTGAACAGAACGATAAAGCGTGTCGTTTGAATTATAACAACGTCGAATACTTCGATAAGACCGTGTTATTATTTTGTACGCTCGCGTGTACCTTACATTACCTTACACGAAATGTAGTCCGTATAGGTAGTCGTGGTGTTGTAGGTATGTTTATAATATATGTGACTCTTTATTATCAGACTTTGGTCGCACAGAACTAGCCGAAACACACGAAATCGTTATCGGTTTCTCATTCACTGGCAAACACGCACACACACACACACACACATGTACTCTCTCATTCACATACGCAACACACGCTTATAGGATATACCTGAATAAAATTATACTCCTTTTTCAATGAGAAACTTACGCG